TGAGGGGGTAGATGGTTAGGGTGCCTTTCCGTAATAGTATTTTTCATCTTCACTGTTTGCAGTAAAATGGTTGCGGGTTTAATGGGATATATCCTGTTCACTGTGTCTACTAATGGCCACGAGTTTGTCTCCTGCTATTGTGTTTGTTCATACTAACAACTCTATTCAAATAAACCCCAAGGTTTCCTGGTATCACGGTTTGCAAAAGTTAAGATCTTTTGTTTTGGATTCTCGTAACTGAACTTTTGGGAAACAGGGCTTTAAACTCTGTTGCTAGCTACACTCTTTTTTCTTTTCCTTTCAAAGGCTGTTCTAATTCTACACTAATCGTGCGGAGTTTCCTTGACTAATATTTAACTTATTGGCACTGAAGAAAGTTGAGCAAACGATTAGATAAACTTAATAAGACCCTACACTTTTGCTTCTGCTAGAATAGTTTAATCTTTATAAAGCAGCGTAATTAAGTAACATGTCGATGTTCTTGTAATTTTCAAGTTTTTACTTCTTTCAGGAACTATTGCCCCTTATTCTACGCGATGAAAAAAATTTGATCATGCAAATTATGTGAAAAAAAAAGTGAAACCAAATGAGCTTTAAATTGCGGCAATTATATGATATTGTGAGAGAAAAATGTTCATTGGAAAGTTGAGCAAACGGGCGACAGATGGAAATAGGATGGGAACCGGTAAACAGAAATATACCGGAAGAAAAAACGATACCGGTTAAAAAGATGGAAAGCTGTGACTAGAATTCCGACAGACTCAACTCTTCCCAGTCAACCATTATAAAAACTTGGTTTGTTGAAAAATATTCTATACGGGTTCATTTGCTTGTCCCGACTGATGCAGTAACCGAAAAAAATGACATCTGGAACTCGATTGTTTCCAAAAACCAGAAACCCTACCAATAAGTGTGAAATGCACTTACTAATTTGACAAAAACTTCCTCATTTTTTTGTTCTTTATTCCAAAATGGAAAAAAAAATTGACGAGTAAATGAATAAGAGGTGTATTTCTAAATATGTCCATCCAGAAAACACATTTACTTTTTCTTAAAGTATGGTGAGCTTCTGCAATGGATTTTTTACAGATGAAAATAGTAAGGCAACGGGAGCCGATAGCAAGGTTGACAACTGTACGTGTATAAAAGCTTAAACACCTTTAGAATTTCGAAAATCATTGGAGTCAGAAATAACTGTTTGCGATATTTATAAGAAAATATTTTTTTTGATGTTAGACGTGATAGAAGCCACATTAGCAGCCATGCTTCATAGTTTCAGTATAGTCTCAGAAACTATTGAAATCTAATCATAGTACAGTTAAGCGATTCCGTAAGTTTACCGCATACAGTATTATATGCAAATTCATTTTTCCAAGTATAAACAGTATTAAATGTAGTTATTTTTGGAAATAATGTGATGGATACACGGGGAATATGGAACGCCAGTGTATGAATGTTGCTTTACTGAGATCTCAACTTGTGCGGCTGAGCGATTTTGTTCACCGACTAGCTGCCTTCAAAAAACAATAATGACCTAAAAAAGATAGTGTTCAAGAAACAAACATAAGGGTTAACATAATACAATTGTTGTATTGTGATTGCTGACAATTATCTGAATGGTTTCACAAAAAGAATTTTAGTGGGTGACGTGGGACATGATGACGATTCCAGGCGACAAAGTCATCCTTTTTCGTTGTTGTTACCACTTTCTTTCTTCCTCATAAACTGTTACCATTCAATGATTGTTTGAAATACACGAAAGTGCAAATCTTTGAGTATTTATACAAATATTTTTAGTTAATCGCTCCATTGAGGTTCGTTTACTACACTGTCAATAATAAGCAGCTTGGATACCATTTGTGAAAAAACATTTTTAAATTGACTAAGTAGTTTAGCTTGTTTCCTTTTTTTCATGTTATTATTGCCGGGGGTTGCTGTCCTAAGAGACCTTGTTTTTTTTTACTCTTTTGGAAACATGAATTTGGTTTTCCTCGTCTGCCTAACATAATTGACTTTCTAGGCTAAAACTTTTTATCTTGTTTGAAACAACACCAACAGAAACAGCCTTTCGGGTTTCCTCTACAATTTTTACAGAGCCATCCTCTACAACTTTTTTTCACATTCAGAATTTGTGACTAAGGTTTAGAATCTTTTTTTTGTCACTGAAATAACGATGCAATATCCAAAAGACAGTATGCGAAGCAAGTGAAGGAATACGGCTCACAAAGCTCAGCCAATTTGCTCGACTGATTCAACAGACCGGCATCTTCTTTTAGAAGACATCAACTGCCTTGTGATGAAACACTGTTGACTATCTGCCTTCCGTGATTTCCTCAACAAAAGATTTTTGCCTCGAGTATTCGGTGATGTTTAATTAATGCAAATCACGTTGGGATAACCCTAATGTATCGTTCTTCACAGCTCGCGCTAGCAACATCACCAACAAACTGGTTGCTTGGATGATATTAGTGTCTATTTGAGAAAGCTAAGCGTATTTATCCATCACTCTATATTCAAAATTAAGCCTTTTCTTACTCTAAAAAAATCTTATATAATTCGAAAGTTCGCTGATTGCCCTTCTCTACTTCCTGTTTGGAGCACTATTTGGGTGTTCTTGTTTCATCAGTGTTATGCTGACCTGGGAAAATAATGAAGAGAGAAGGGAGGGAAAAATCTATTCTGTTAGATATATTCATTTGCGATATATCATTTGGCCTCCAAATTATAAATTTTAACAATATTGGTTGAGAAAAGGCCAGCGTGCTCGACCCTAAAAAAGCTTTGTTTTGACTCAATCTCTCTATTAAATGTGTTTGGAAGATATGAAATAATAGGAACCTTTTCTTTCAGTACTAAAGTAACTGACGACACCAAAATATGTGATGCCAACTCTAATGCAAAAAATGTCACTCACTGTTTTTTCAGTTTAAAAACTTGATTGTGGATTTTAGTGAACGAAATTGTTGCGGCGTCTATCTAAAATTGAAGTCCAAATACAATTTTAAAATTACTGATCACTGTTTTTAATCTGAACCGACCGATATAAATAACTCCATACGGTAACGGAGCAACATTTGAAGAAAAATCTAATTTTTACTGATATATTCATTTTTTCAAATCTCATAACAAAAAATTCAACCTTTTTTTGCTAACCACTCATTGCTCCCCGATTTCTCCTGGATCTAAAAAGTATGGGAACGCAGTTATGCAATGCATTCACGAGTCAGTAAATGCGCAAACATACAGCAGCAGTAAAAAGTAAATCCGCAGTTTGTTGCACTTTTTACTGAAAAAACAAAGTGACATCATTGTTTATGACGGTATTTGTTGTTTAACACCTAATAGTTTCAAGATTTCTGTTTTTAAATATTAAAAAAATGATCAAATTTTTTTTGTGTCAATTAATCAAAGCATCTTAATTGATTGTTTTGAGCAATGATTTTTTTTTTATTTGTATTTTTTATTTTTGTCGTTAAACTGCTACTGAGAACTGCTGCAGGATCTACGGTTAATATCGTAAACAAATATTATTTGTGCGTAAACAGAAATACTTTACCACAAAAAAGTTGTTTATGAGAAGTATCTAAGTTATTTATAAACAAGGTAAAGCAAACCATTTTGTTCGCTTCCGCTGCAGTTCTTTCACACAATTTCTTTCGCTTGTTTCGCTCTGCCAGATTGTTTACTTACAGTTCAACTTAGTTTGATGCAAACAGCAAAGTTTCCGATACCCTTTTAAACTGTTTTTTTTTTGTTATGCAGAAACCAAATAATGATGTCAGTACGTTAACGAAATGCCAGCAGTATTACTAGCAACTAAAGGTGCTGTTTGTAATGAACTGTTGTTTAGCCCTTGACAAAAGATTAGGCGGATCTGCTGGTGATTGAAACGGTCACGTTGGAGAAGAATCAAAAAAAAGCATACTTTGAAATTGTTTTTGCAACAAACGCAACAGGCTTGTTTTGAATATGTCGGAAAGCACTAGGCGCCTCAGTCGCTCTGCTGATTCTGAGAGTTGTTTGCAGCGGAACAACGTCAAGAAACAGCCGCTGTTGTTTAAACTCCTGGATACCACTGAATCATTATACATATATATATATATATTTTTTTTTTTGAAGTTTGATGGTTGGAAATATTTTTCGAAAGATTGAGGTTGGGGTCTCAGTTTGTCTGAATCAAGCGAATATTTTGATCTCGGTTTATGTTTTTCGCCGACAAATACTAGGGAAAGCGATAAGATCACCAAACCAGCAGACCGCATGTATCTAACGTTCCTTCTTCTTTTTCCTCTCCGTCTTCTTCTTCGTCTCCCCGCTTCATCTTCATCCTTGTCATCATCGTCATCACCATCACCATCTTCTTCTCCTTCGTGTTCTTCTTTCTATTGCCTCCTGGCCACCACATCTGGCCGCTAAATTTTGTTGATTTCACCGCCCCATTTTGCAAATATTTCTTGCAACCAGTTGTAGTGTAGCCATCCAGCAGGGAGGCTGTCCGACAACAGTGTTTTGCGTTTGCATCAGGATTGCAGCTTTATGGCTTTTTAAATATGACTCTTAAAAATTGTTATTGTTTTATGCTCAGCGATATTTATATTTCATCAGTAGTGAAAATTTTTCCTTCAAAAGAGCAGCGCTCGGTGTACTGTATCTGACTGCCGTCCACTTGAAATGCAGTTTAGCTGTTAAGATTTACTTGTTTAATCAAGAATTGTAGCTTTCGGAATGACCTCTGAGAAGTGACTCTAGATGAGAGTATTCGTGAGATAATTTGAAAAAAATATTTTTCAGTTTATTCAAGTGGAACCTAGTTACTGCTTCAGTTTGGGTATTGTCATTTATTATGCCGTCGTTAGATTTCTGAGAGAGAATTGTTGAAGGCGAAAATGGGAACAGCAGTGTAATTTAGCATATTAGTGCTGATAGTTGCTAATATTTATATGTCGAGACCGAAATGTATTGTTTAAAATAATTTTTCAACTTTTTTTAAAATGTGACATATGGGTTTAAGAATTACTTTTCAGATTGGTTTGCACACAGTTATGTTCGTTAAACTTACTTTCCTAATTCTGTCGACATCGTTGTTGGTTTTTGGACGACCAACTGACTCGGTAGGTTACTAAGCCGTTTTCAGTCGAAACAATTTTTGAGGATTCCACAAGTTATACGGTGTTTGAAGAAACTCTTCAGAAGACAAAATGAAAGTAAAAAAACGGTGTTTGAAGAAACTTTTCAGAAGACAAAATGAAAGTAAAACCGGATAAACAGAGACTAAGTTTAGATTAGAATGATCGAATTATTAACGCTTCATGATTGAAGAATTGGCAGTCATGTCTCGCAAAATGTCATTATTAAGAATTAAAATTTCAAATCTGTTTAAAAGCTGAATTGCCAATTGAAGAGTTTTGTCCAAATTTTTAAGGTTGAAAAGCTTTTCAGAAATTTTAAAAATTAGATTGACAAATAAAACTCTATAATCTTTTACTGCCTACTTCGTACATAAATTAACATTTTTTTTGCTTTTCTCAATATCCTCTCCAAATTTCAAAATTGATAATACCATACATTTGACGAGTTGAAATATTTAACATAGAGCAATAAACGCTGAATTATTTCACTTGGCAGCAGTCTCATAGGATATTCAGAGACTGTTAATTTTCCCTTTGATTATGAACGTTATATTACTTTTCACCAACGATATTAAAGTCTGGAAAATCAGACTAACATAAAAATCAACAGCCACTGAACATGACCCAACCCAGCACACGCGTTGTTTCGATCTTTTTTAACAAACGCAGTGCATTATTAAACGATATATAATGAAATAAAAAGAATCGAAAATTGATGTATTTTTTGTCGTTATTTTTCTTTTTTCCGAAAAAGTTTTTGAAGAAATCTATAGGGATAAAGCAGCCTTACTGTCTTTTTCGATTTGTTGATTTCATGAAACATAAAATTCTTTGCAGTAATTGAAATTTCTGCTATGCTACTGTCTGAAAGAACTTTAAAAACTGCGAATGTGACCTTTTACGGGTTGTCAAAGAAGAATTTATTAACATAAACTGTCACTGAAATTACTACCCCAGTTGAACATTAAGCTTGGACTTTGTTAAAGCAATTTTTTTACCTTTTTCTTTCTATCTCGATACTGTTCACAGTATTTGCTATTACATTTTGACAACTGAACATTTCTTTTTTACTACTTTTAAGTGAACCGAAATTTGTTTTCGTTTTTAGACAGAAGTAAAGTGCGTGGAATGTAAACCAGTCCCCGAACTCAAAGTCGATTTCAGTCCTGTTCAGGATGCCGCGCACAGCGCAGGTAATACTCTAATTTTAATAATCGTTTTGTATTTTTTCAAATTACCTGCCGTCCTCGAAGTGAACAGTAGGAAGTTTCTTGTTAGAATCATGTTGTGATATATGCTACTTGGAGTTAGAAATGAAGCTGATTTGCTGTATCACTTTTTAAGGTCATGGGGCTGAAAAAGTCAAAGAAGCTGTATTGTTGGCTGGGCGGGAAGCTGCAAAAGAAGCCCAAGCAGTGGAGGAAGCTGCTGGTACTTTATGCATTTAATTGTTGAATGTCTTTTGCGTTAAAAAGAAATTATCTCAACATTGGCCAAATGTTACGGTTAGATTGTACCGTTAGAATTTTCTTAACTTTTTAAATCTTCAGGTCAGAAGCTTGATGAACTGGCGAAAACCGCTGGAGAGGCAGCGCAAAATGCAGGTCAATTTGCGGAGGAAGCGCAAAACGAAGCAGGTTAGTTTTACGAATTCTTTGAATGATGTAGTTGTTTAAATTGTTCAGAACAGTGGAGTGAAAATTTTATTTGAACATAAGAGATCAGGCGAATGGCCCTTTGCTGGTTTTCTGACTTTTTTAACATTGACACAACTTGTATCAAAAAACTTTCTTCAAAAATTATTTCAAATGCATTTTAGTTAAAAAAGCCGATGAAGTCAAAGAAGGTCTTCGTAAAGCTGGTGAACATGTAGCTGAACTAGCCAACCAAGCTGTCGCCAGTGCAGGTATTGCTAGTACTTAGTTGCTTTCTACTTTCTTTGAGCGAATCTTCAGTGGTTTGCATAACTGTTCGTTTTACTACCAGTGCAGACTACTGTACCGTTCTCATAGTCTTTTTAAATTTTTGACTACTTCTAAATTTCTAGCATATTTGTATTGCAGGTGAGCATATCGATAAGGTTAGTCAGGAAGCGAAAGATGCAATTGCCGGAACTCATGAAGCGGCGGGACAAGCTCACGATGCGGCAGGCTTGTTTTTCCGTTTTCTCTATAACTCCTGCGAGGATCTTTTTGAAACACACAACTTGCTTTACCTGACTAAGCAATCCTTTCAAAAGGGAAATCAATTACCAAATTTATAAGGGTTAAATTTTATGCATTCGGACATTAAAAGAGCTACCAAAGTCATTAATGCATATATTATTTCTTAATATGTTTGTATAAAATTAATATCATGTACAATTTCCCGCTCCAACCGTATAAATGTATTTTGATTTTGCCCACTTAGGCCGCTAAAAACAGAATTGCCAAATTTTTCAGCTGACTGTACCGGCTTTATGAACATTTTCTTAAATACAGTGATGTGTTTTTTGAATTCTAATGGCCACATTTTATTGAACTTGCTTGTTTAGCGGCAAAGCTTGAAGAAGTCAGAGGTGATATCGAAAATTTGGGCCACAGCATTCCTGACGCCGCTGAGAGTGCAGCAGACCAGGCAGAAAAGGCTGCCGAGGCAATGCGGAAGGATTCTCAGAGGTCAGCAGAAGAAGCCGCTCGTATTGCCAGTGAAGCTGCAGCAAGACATGCTGGAGCTGTCGCAGCACAAGCTGCTAGTGACGCTGCTCCTAAAGCAGCCGAAGAAGCCGCTATAAAAAGCGCTGGAGAAACTTCGCAGAAGTTGCAACAACAAGCTCATGAAACTGGTATGCAAGTAGAAAGGCAGATTGCTCAAGAAAATTATCGTAAAGACCCTCCTGGTGCCATGGTAAAAATTGTCGGCAAGGGACCAGACAATCAGGGGGAGGTTGTTGAGTTTATTGAAGCAGTTACTAGGAGAATGGGAGACGTTCGAAAAGAAAGCAAAGAAATTCATTCTGCAGAAGACAGTCATTCAAGTACGAACATTTATTAGCTCCATGTTCAGTTTGGTGATTTCTTGATACATCATTAGTTTTTTTTTGAAACTAGTGAAGACTTTAAAAAAAGTCTTTCTTTAGGCGAATCTGAATCTTTAGAACAGAGGGAGGCTAAATTGAAAGGAAGGACAAAACGTTCTGCAGAAGAAGTCCTTGAAAAAGCTAAAGAAACTGGTGAAAAAGCCAAGGAAACTGGAGCGGCTGCAGTGCATGAACTTGAGGCCGACGCTCATGTGGCTGGAAAAAAAGTCGCTGATGCAGCAGAGAATGTTGGTGGCAAAATCGGTAAGTGTGAAAGCTTTCTTAAGAACAGTAGATAAGCTAACGAAACTTTTATTCTACCTGTCTGTAATTACTCACTAGTTAAACTGAATTTATATGATTTTTCCGAGCAGTCAGGTATTTCAAACGTAATGCACCAGCAATGTTTAAGTTACGTTTTTTTCTGTAACAATCAACACCACGTATACGTATATGTAGGATCTTCTAATGAAATCTGTACTCTTCAGTGTTTCCTTGAAATATGAAATGAACAAGTGATCAATTTTTTCAGCTGATACCGTGCAGAATGCTAAAGATGGAGCTTCGAATGCGATGAATAAGGCTGGTGAAGCTGTCAATAAGGCCGGAGAAGCAGCAGGTTAGTAGCTTTTTAAAAAGTATGCTTTTAGAGTGTTGTTCTTTTAGTTTTTCTGACTTTTTTCTAACATAAAATACAGCTACATGTATTTTGATCAGACAGCAGCACTTCCGTTGGTTATAAAACAGTGATTTGATATCCAACTTTTTTAGCTGAGAAAGCTAGTGAAATAAAAGATGGTGTAAAGAGTGCAGCTGAATCGGTAAAAGAAGAAGTTCAACTTGCTGGAAACATTGCAGGTATTACTGATACAAATTTGTCTAACACTAATACGTCAGATTTCTTTCTAGACTGTAAAATTTTCTCTCAGACTAGCAAATAGTTATTATGAAGATTTTGAGGGGCTTTATTGGATTTTTCATTGTTAAAGTCCCTTTTGATATCTCTTTCTTTTGCAGGTGATAAAGTAGAAGCTGCAGGTGAAGAGTTCAGAAATGCTGCTGAATCTGCTGCTAATACTGCTGGTAATTTTTTGTTTGTTTTTTTCTTTATCTTGAACCATTTATTTCATCTGTAAGCATACATGTATTTGTAACCGTTGCAATATCAAACGTGTATTTCTAGGTTTTATAATTTCATTGCCTACGTTTACTTTAAAACCTTGTTGGTGAATTTTCAGGAGAAGCGATCGAAGATGAACGCAATCGTGATCACCCGAGACATTTAGAAGACGCTATTGCAGATACTGCCGGCGCCGTTAAGAACGTTGCTGGTTAGTGGAGTATTGTTTTTTCACCTTCCTTTTCGTTCTTCTTTGCCACTGGCCAGTTTTCTATCAGTCATAAAAAGTTAATGAGAAATCCTCATTTAGACAGTGCAGCAGGACATGCTGTAGAAGGAGCTCAACATCTTGGGAGCGCTGTAGCTGGTGCTGCTGAAAGTGTTAAAGATGCAGCTGTAGGTGCTGCTGTCGACGTTAAGGATGCCGCTGGTTAGGAGAAAATCTTATTATTAAATTTACTTAACTGAAGTTCATCTAGTTCCATGCGTAAATAAATTATCAGCATAACTTACAAAATAATAAATAAATTCTGTCTTCAACTGACCATCCTGCTGAGGAGCATTTTGTTTTCATTAAGCGAAGGCTATACCAGCACAGCATTTTGCCGCATTTTGTCTCAGCCTTTTATTTTTTTCTTGAATTACTTATCGGAAGTAGCTTTTAGTGAACGTGGGTCAAGCCGTTGCTGACAAAGCGTCTGATGCGATTCACTTAACAGGTTCTTTTTTGAAATTCTTTTTTTACTGTTTATAGCATCGAATTTGTTTAATTTTCGATTTTGAACAAAATTTAACGAACCGAAGTTTTAGCCGAGGGCGTTGAACATGCCAAAGACGGTGTTGTTGCAGCCGGCAAAGCTGTCGCGGATACAGCCGTCAGCGTCAAAGATGCAGCAGGTATTTACCTTATCATATAAAACTATTTGATCGTAGATTTTTATGTTCTGTTTTGGTGTGTTACCAACAGTCCTGAGAGAAAATAACATGCAGAAGAAATTTTAGTTCTGCATACCAGCTGTGGCGTTCAATTAACGTAGCTAGTTCTTGGGTTTAGGTCTCTTACAGTTTTTAATAGCACTGATAATGTAATATGATCAAAGATGAGCTTGCAATTAATAAGGAAAAAGTTGCAAATAGTTTTATGGTTGGAACAGTGCTTAAGCCCTTGGTGTTTTTATGTAGTAACAGAAAGTGATTAATTTCAAGGCGATAAACTAAACGATATCAAGGACGGTGTTGTAAATGCTGGTGCAGCAGTTGCAGGAGTCGCAAGCAGTGCTGTTAACAAAGCAGGTAGTTAATCCACAGTGAATATATCAACTTGTTTGCGTTTATTTCTTAACTTTTGTACTTTGACGTCAGTTTTGGCCAACTGCATGTGCACTATCAAGTATCTGTTCCTGTTTTTGTCGGTAGAATGTGTGTGTGTGTTTTTTTACGTTGGTGGGTTGTACGCACTGTTCAAAGTCATGGTCTAAAGGAGCAACCTACTTTCAAAGTTGGAACTATAGTAAGCAATGCACATTATCTGCTTCAGGTGATTCCACAAATCGTACCGGAGATTGTTTAGAATTGGTAGCCAGAAAGGATGCTAGTGTCGACAGCAGAATGAATTTGTATAATTCAGTAGTCATTCTGTTTTGTTTCTGCGTGTTAAGGTTCTTCTATCACAGTTTTACGGTGTAAATATACATACATAGTCTCTATATCAACTGTTAAGGGGTTTAGCTTTTTTGAACAGTCTATTCAAATTTGTCGTTTTGCAGGATATTAGCTGTTTAGCAACTAATGTTTTGGCAAATATTAAAAGTGGTCTCAATTTTTAGCATTATTTGTTTTTTCTGTTCGTTTAAGAAAACTGCACAATGTCTTTCTAAGCAAAATCTTCCTTGCTGATTGATAAGTTTTTCGTATTCTAGCATTTTAAGCGTTTTTACGTTATAGCATTATATGCATTCTTTCGTTTCTCTCCAATTTACTGTATGTGTATTATGCATGTAAATGCATGCGGACAGCCTTACTGTGCATGATATCTTGTAAATACTTTAGATCGGTCAGAGTTACATCATGTTTTGCCAGAAGTCAGTGTTAAAAGTGACGTTATGTCAAAGTTTCTGCTTGGCGAGAAAAAACACACCAATTGTTGCCGGAAGTAAACCAACCTATTACTGTCACTCAGGATGCTGCTGTCTTCAATAATTATTTTGGAATCTGTGCGGTAAGAAAAATCTTCGTGTTGTGGTTGTTCGTGCTGTTTAGATATGTGCATGGTTCGTAGGACAATCGCTTTATTTTTGGAAGAACGAAACGTCCTGATGTGTAAAAATGCAATGTTTGTAGTCTATGGACCCGTTGGTCTGCTTGTCCTCGTTTAGCTGAATTTTTCACTGGTGCCGTCGAAGACCATTCAAATTGACTATAATCATTAGTCTGTTCAAGAAACATAGAAGTGGGAGAGTGTTTAAGATCTAAAATTTAATTTTTTTTTAATGTTTAGGTGAGAAGCTTGATGAATTAGCTGGTGGAAGAGCGGAAGACAAAGAAGATACATTCCATTGGCATGGTCCAGGTAATCTTCTTTAGTCCTTAGTTTTGTAAATTGCTGCTGCAGCGGCTGGATTTCTAAGAGAACCTTCTTATATTAATTTTATTTATCTACACTCAAAGCGAATACGTATTATTAATTGTTCCAGCCAAAAAACATGAACCTCATATCAAAGGAACGGACTGACTTTACCCTTCAAAAAATAAAGTCCTCCGCCTAAAAAGTAAAGTATTTTTAGAATTTTCCTATTTTGCATCGACAATAAAAATTCTTCAAGTAGTTATTTTTCCGAAACAGAAACTTTTTTGTTGGACTTGAAGGTAACTGATGACTTTTAATAGTTTTTACTAGATTTTTGAAAATTCAGGTAAACTGCGGATAAACGCTACTCAGGACAGTTAATGTTGATACGACTCCTTCGGACAACATAGAAGTTTATATTTTTCAAAGTTTATCATTTCTTTCTATGTTCGGCCTGATACTTTTTATCAGTTATTTTTTTGTTTCAAAGTCTCATTGACTCTTGTTTATTGCATTCTGTTTATATATTTGGTTCACCTCATAAAAATTTCCACTGAACAATTTTTGTGTTACAGTACATAAGACTAAAGTTGGTCGATAGTTAGATTTTCACTGTTTGAAGAAGAATTATCGCATATTGGTTTTTGAATGATTAATAAAACAAGCTTTTCTCCGTTCTTTCAGAGACATTTTATGTTTGTAGGAAAACTGAGTGTCATGTAAAGATAAATTTATTCAGTTAAGTTAGTCTGTATAGAAGGGATATTTCGGAGCAAAATTCTTCTCGCCGTACTGAACATTTTCTCGATCGTCCAGTATGTCAACCTTACCAAAATGAGATTCTCTGCAATTTACAGGCTGTCAAGTAAACAATTATTCGATGTTATTTGATAAATATAGCTATTATGTAGCATATATCTGTAGCAAAACGCCTAAAATAAAAAATCTTTTGTGATACGAAAATGCATCACTCACTTGTAATAAGGGCTCGGTAACGATGGATACAGTTCACTAAGAATTGAACTAGGTATTCGTACTCTTTTCCTTTTCGCATAGTTAGCTTCTGCTTCTGGACTCAATCGATCCATATTGCTGTCGTTCATGACATGACCAGCAGCATCTGTCACAGTCACCTGTAAACATGTTATCCAAAAAGTACTACGATTGCAGGAAAGATGAAAATATGAAGTAAACCATATTGTATAAAAGAAAATATTTTAATGTTTATTCCGGTTCGTTTTTGCTATATCGTAGCCAAAAACAACAATTTGGCAAAAAGTTGAAAATGTTTACCTGGACAGGTGCTTCGTGATCAGGTTCTACATCTGTACCATTATCTGCATCCGATCTGTTGTTACGTAACCGGGCGAGCACATCGGAAAGAAATGGAATTGTGCCTATGTGAATCGGAATTACAGCTGTTACAACATCATCTACCTATAATCAGTGGAATCATTTAATGAGTATTAAAAAATGGTTGGGTCAGTAATGGTTACTTTGTTTCTGATACACTCAACTTCCTTTTTTCTCCGGCAAAAAGTGGAAGTAAGTTTTTCAAATTTAATTCAAAGAGAAAGCAAAGGATGAAAATAACAAGCAGTTGTCAGTATTCTGTAAGTGCAGATATAGCGGTCAATAAAGCTGTGAATAGCTAACGTCTAATTCCAGTGTATATGCAATCTCAATTATTTTACACGACGATAATCGCGGCGGTATTGAGGGTATCACAATTTTTTCGTTGTTCCAAGAATAACTCGAATGTGGAGCGATTTCACCTCGTTCAGCCTTTACAACTGTTTTGCTGGATAATTTTACATTCTCGTAACCCGCGAAAGTTTTAGCCCTGAACCAAAATTGGGTCATTTGCAGTAGAAGTTATGGGTATTACCGATATTCAAACGAAAAAAACTGATGAAGTCCTGAGAAGGATAGAGTTGAGTGCAACCGCTTTACCTGTAAGTGACATTTTGTTTCAGCCGCAGACAAGAACTTCTCAATGTTTTCTGGCTATCATTTTTGATCTTTGCATTCACCAAAAAAAATTCTCCAGGCGTAAAACCAGTTCTGTTCAACGACAGCTCAGCAGATACGGATCCCTCCTTTAGGCAGCAAAATCTGACTGGGGAATTGGAAACAGAAACTGTACAAGGTTGCAGAAGCTATAATATTTTAACCAATTAGTAAAATAATGGTATGTTGAATTTCTCAAAATAGAGTCAAATTGAAAAATATTCACGCGAGCGAAATTTATGTTTATGGTTTAAATAAAGTAAAATGAGCACTTGGAAAATGAGATAAACTTAGTGACCTTGGGATCTTCGTTGATATCTTCAATTCCTATGACGGTAAAAGCTCTTTTGCTCACAATATCAAAGTCCCATGGTCTTTCGCATATAGCCTTACATGTATATCTAATGTATCCAAATTCACCCTCAAAAGACGATGGTAGAGATTTTGACAAAGTATATGAGAAGGGTACTTCATGACGCCCTTCTGGAAGTATTCGTTCCTAAAAAGTTTTTTATTTGTCACAGCTTGTTGTAATGCAGAACCTGCCTTATTTAAAACAAAATTTTTAAGTTGTTGAACAAACATTTAAAATCACAATTGTTAATTTGAATTTCATTATTTATCTTCAGTCAACCATCAATTCGTTTTGCCTCTAAAGAGTTGAAGACGCTTACTTCTTTTCCAGAAGCGGTTTTAGCAGTAAATTTATGCGTGTAACAGGTGTTGAACTGTTCACAGAAATATGGCTCTCCTCTGCTGTAATGTTTTCTTGACTTTCCTGAAACTTCTGTCATTACTATATGAGTTACTGTAACAATCAAACTTGCTCTATTTAACAGCGACGGGTAAGCAGCAGTAATTCTGTTGGAAAATCTGCCTCCAAATTGTCTTCAGATAACCAGTCAGATGAATTCTGCCAGCCATTGTGGTTCAGAATAGTTTTTTAATTAATGTATACATTTAAACGTTTATCAATACAGCAACTAAACTCTGTTACTGTCCACTGCTTCAACTGCATAATTTTTTATCAGCAAACGCTGAACAATAGCAACAGACGTTTGAATAATAATTAAATGACATATTTATGTTCACGTACAAAAAAAGGTTATTTGAAGCTGGTGATTTAATGTATTGA